TCATATATAAAGATGTATATCTTACCCGATCTGTCATTAAGACCTTGTTGAAGGATCATTACTCTTTGAGCAATGGACATTGCTCTCATATGAACCTTTTCAGCTAAAACCTTAAAAAGGTAATAATAAAAAGATGGTCATTAAACTTAACACAATTTATAGATTTCTTAACTAGTAATATAAATAACATTCATCTTAGTAAGTTAACCAGAATCTCCAAAAAAAAAACTCGGACAAAAATTCTACCTAAATTATCTATACTCTCCATAATCTTAGAGAAACCACTATTATGTGCTAAGTATTTTCCAAAAGTACTTAAAGAAAATGGCTTCTTTTAATATGCCTGCAAAAATATTGAATATATTTACCTGATAAGCCAGTTTTCTGACAGACTCTTTTACATCCTTGGTGCGCCCCACAATTTTTGGCAAAGTCTTTGCTGAGGGTGCAATGCATGATAACACTGCACGCCTAACTTCTGAATTTGAATCATTTTCTACCAAAGTAGCATATGCTAAAAATAAAGTATTACATTTTAGTACTAAAGAAATTATTTAGCAAGTCTTATTTTAAATTTTTTTTAAATTACATATTTTAGTCTCACACACTTAATTTTAACTGAAAATATTCTCCACCAACTTCCCTTCTAAGGACAGAACGATAAATTAAAAATAAACTAGGTGTGCCTAAAAATAACCCTAAAAGTGAAAAGAAAATTTACTTTGTGGGCAGTTTAATTTAAACTGGTATGGCTTTATTAGGATCCATGATTTGAATTTTTAATGAATGCATGGTAAAAATAACTTCTGGTGGTCCTCACTAAAACAAAATCCATTTCTTATACTTAATTATATTTATTCTTGTACTTTTCACATTGTTCCCAGCTTCATTATCAAGTACATGTTGACTATCAAACATATATGTTTTATACAACATCATTATGCATATCATTTAACACCCCAAAATGCCAAATACTACAAGCTATCAAGCTTGATTACAAAACTGGTAACAGGGACAAGTGAATAGTTAAGCACAAAAGTGTCTAAAATATATCTAGCACATATGGAAAAGTGAAATTGACAATTTTATGACTCCAGAGGTAAAGTTTTTTTTTTTTAAATAAGAGATTAAAAAGTACAAATCCTAACAGAAGTTAATAATTCTGACACTAGAATTTCTGCTCAAAAAAAGACACCTAAAGAAAAGTGAAACAATGAACAAAAACTGGAAGACATATGTAAATCATATAATCTAAGGATTTTCTTTTCAGAATATACAAAGAACTCCAATAAATCAATTAAAAATTGATTTTTAAATAAAAAACAGATAAATGGATAAAACACACTGGCAGGCATCATATAGAAATAATAATGCATGTGTAATGATGTTTTGGTCAATGACAGACTAAAAGCATGTGACAGTAGTCCCATAAGATTACAAAGGAGCTGAAAAATTCCAATCACCTAGTTACATCTTAGCTGTGGGTTACATCATATCATAATGCATTATTCACATGTTTGTGATGACAGATATAAATTAACATACTGTACTGCCATTTATATAAAACAAAGTACATATAAGGTATAGCATTTAATACATGACACTAATAAAACACTTCTTATTGGTCTATGTACTTGTCATACTTTTTACGGTTTAGAGTATACGCCTTCCACTACTAAAAAAGTGTTTGTAGAAAAGTAATGTCACGCCATGTTGGCAGCAGTCTCATACATCTCATGTTCAGCACATCTCTTGATTGCACCAAGAAAGCACATTGAAAAATTGACCTATAGCATCTAGTTTGTATAAGTACTCTCTATGATGTTCACACAACAACACAACCAGAAAAATCAACCTAAGAACACAAAATGTATTCCCATACTTACATGACACATGACTATAACTGGCTGCTAAATATATGAAAACATGAGCAACAATGGGATACACACACGCAAACATACACCCACATCACCACTGCATTTTAAATCTGATATTACTAAATATTGACAGGATATGGATCAATGAACACTTTCATGCTCTATTACTAGAAATATTAATTGTAAATCACTGGGTAGAGTACTCATAACTTATCTAATAAAGCTGAACACACATATATTCCAAGTCCACTGTTAGGCATAAACCTTATAAAAATATTTGAACATACATACCAAAAGCTATGTAATTAAGAAAATTCATAATAACAATTTTTTTAAAAGCAAAATAATTGGAAACAATTAAAAAATACATTAAGATTAGAAATAATAAACTATTAACTCCAAACAACAGAATGCTATATAATACATTAAAAAAGTATCACATATAAACACTAAAATTAAAAATAATTTTGAAAGAAAAATATAGTACAGTTCACACAAAATGATAGACAAAACTTTACAAGAGCCACATATGATTATGTTTTTTAACTAAAAATTAAGTTTTTTTTTTCAAAAAAACAATAATAATAATTACTTCTCAGAGACAGGTATACAGTTGTGAGATACAGACAGGAAGACTTCAAAGACACTGATAATGTTCTTTTTTAAAATATTTTTTTTAGTTTTCAATAGTCCTTTATTTTATTTTATTTATATGTGGTGCTGAGAATCAAACCCAGTGCCTCACACATGTGAGGCAAGTGCTCTACCACTGAGCCACAACCCCAGCCCATGTTCTATTTTTTTAAATTGTGTGGTTGCTACTTGGGTGTTCTACTCTTCTGTATATGTGTGTGTATGTGTGTGTGTATGTGTGTGTGTGTTACACATACATATATGTGTAGTTCAAAATAAAAAAATTACAATTGCTGAAAAATTAACAAAATCAATAAAAACTGAAAAGATTTAGGAGGTCACACATACCTTTAACCACTGGACATTCATCATCCTTGGGATCCTGAAGTCGTGAAAGAGCCAGGACTGCTTGTATTCTCACATTTGGAATTTTATCTTTCAATCTAATAAGCATGGCTTCATTAATTTTATCAAACAAATCATCATCAATCTGGGCATTTTCTGGCATACTTCCCAAAAGCTTGTTTATGAGCTGGCATACTCTAAATCTGACTGCATTGCTGTTTGCTTCATGAGACTAAAACAAAAACCAATATTCCTAGTCAACATACCATTCCTAAATATTCAATGCCACCTGAAATGACAACAGTAATTCATTATTTGCTAATAAACTATGAATGCATTTATATATAACTATATAAAGATACTTTTTATTCAGTTTGACAGTTTGAAAAAAAAAAGTATTTACTAAATTACAAATTATTATCTTTGTAGGAACTTGTAAAATAGAAAACTCACTGAAAACAAGTGAGAACTGATTGAAAGAGATCATCAAACACTTGATGCTGAAGTTATTTGTAAAGCCCACCTTTTACTGTTAACCAGAGTTATTATATACTCATTCACAGATATTTTCTCAATCACCAGATATTGTCCTGACATATACAAAATTTAAAGTAAAAGTTTCTACATTACTTCCCCAAGGTGCTAATTTTCATAAGTACCTTTAAGAGAAAAGTAAACAAATAATTTAAAATGCCACCATCTTCCTCTTCCTCATCATCTTCCAAATTGGACTGGTGAAATGAAGTAACAAATTTTGCCGCGAATTCTATTACCCTCTCCACGGCTGGTTCCCGTTTATAGACCACCATAGCATATTTAAGGTAATGAACAAACTCCTCATGAAAAACTGCTTTATCATCCATCTGAAAGACAAAAGAAACCCCTCATAAACTGCACTGATTAAGATCCTTTAACCCAACATGACCCTAATACTGTGAGAGCACTAGCCAAAACACAAACTAAAATCATTGGTAAGCTGTTATCCAAAACAGCAAAAACAAAGAAGTAAGTCTGCACGAATTTCTCTCTAAGCTATAATTTGCACCTCTCAGAGGGTACACCAGAGTGACTTTGGGCAGTTAAAGAATTCTTATGTTTTTTTTTAAATGCCCTTGAAATTTTCATTACGCATTTAGTGTCACTGGAGTATAAACCTGCTTTTTCATGAACTCACAACCAACAATGACATATTTAGCCCTTTCTATCACCTGGAAATTTCCCTTGGTAAAACTTTCACATTCTATCCCATCTCTTACTTAAAGCCCTATTATACTTCCTTACAATTTTTCTTTGATATCAAGATACCTTATCTTTCCCCAAATCATTGTCCCTTTGCTCCCTAGGCTCCACTCAAAACACAGTAAGGGAAGGGCTAAGTTCCGATGCCTAATGGGCATTTGATGACTGGTTCCAGCTTGGCGGTGGCAGGAGGTTGGGGCTTTTCTGCGAAACGACGGCAGAGCCACCGAGCCCACTCTGAGTACTGACGCTCGGTGCCTCGGCGCCTTCCAAGTTCACTGCAGGCTCAGGATTAATGGTCCACACCGCCCCGGAGATCGCAGGAGAGAGGGAAGGGTCAGTGCAGAAAAGCCAGGGCGGGTCCTCGGGTGGACAGCGCCCCCGGCGACTCGGGCAAGTGGCCTGATCACTGTAAGCCGCGGGTCAGGACAGCGAATAGGGGTGGAGGCAAGATGCGTCAAGTCCGCAGAGCGACAGGAGGCCCTCGGGGAGGCTGGGCGGAGGAAGGTGGGGCGCGGCGCTCAGGCGCGGGCCGCTGGGAGGACAGCTTACCGTGCCGTAGGTGCGACTCAGCGCCACCACCAGTTTCGCCTGGTTCTGGTGAGGCTGCTGTGCCAGCCGAAAGGCTTCCTTAATCGGCAGCAGCCTCTTCTCCGCTCCCATGGCGCCTAGATGACTACCGTCGGCCCCGAAACCCAGGATTTTAGTCTCCACTGACTCCCGCAGGCCGGCCTCTGAGCGTCCAGGGCGTGGTTACCGCCAGAGCGTTCAAATAACTCCCGCGGGAGATTGAAACATCGCGAGAACGCCGCGAGCTCTTAGGATGCTTGAGCGGGAAGAAAGGAGTCCATCCACTTAGAGCCCCGCGACTTGGGCGCATGCGCCTAGGATGTGTTTCCCCGCCCCCGCGCCCCCCGTTTTTCCCGGTAGGAAGTGGCGTTTCTAAGGACAGGAGGCGTTCGTTCGGCCGGAAGTAGTGCCGTCAGGGATGTCAAGCGGAGACTTGGTGCGACGTTCGGGACAGGGCTGGTGGCGCTAGGCGTTAGCGGACTCGCGTGGCTGGGCGTGAGGCGAGAAAGCAGAAAGGATCCTCCACGGTGAGAACAGGGAGTCAGCCGAGGGAACCGTCTCCGCTCCTGCGGCGGGGCAGGGAACCCGAGGAGGGATGCGTGTGGAGGTGGAGGAGGGACCGGGCGTTGGCGAAGCCGGGGGCGCGGCCGGCGCGCTCCGAGAAGCCAGCCGTCCCGAGTTCCCCGGATCCCGACACCCTGCGGCCCTTGTCCCGCCCTCTGTCCTGGCCTAGGGTGCCTGGCACTTGCCACGGCGAATGGAGGCGGGACCTGTGAGGAGGAGCAGCCCGGTGTAGTCGAGCTGCCGCTGGCTCCGGGCGTGCGAGCTTCTCCGGCGTCCTTCACAAACCTGCGGGAGCTCGGTGTAGTAAACAAAGGGAGAGAGGTCTTAGGGGTCGTGGTTAAGAGAAGGAAGTCTTTAAACCTTTTTTTTTTTTTTTTTTTTTAATGAAATGATCTCCAATAAAAAGGAATACCTCTGTTGAGGCTCAGGACATACCCCTCCAAAATATGTCACTAGAGAGTGCTTACTTGGCGTATTTCTGGCTGTTATATTCTGAGAAACCGCAAATCAGGATTAGTTCTTAAAACTGTCTTTGTAAAGCATACACATTTAAAGACATAAAAAAGTAAATCATCATTTACGACAACTTTAGTAAAGTATCTATGTCAGGAAGAGGGCTCTCCCCGGACAGTTTTTATTACTGGAAAACTATCTGCATGACACGACTGCCTTTATTCCCCAGACATTATCTCTCCGCATCTTTCCTTAACTTATGGCACCACCTGCTTCCCCAGAAGCCCCAAGCCCCTCTTCCTTATGTAGTTCAGGATGCTTCAGTCATCTGACCCTTCTAGTCTCAGTGTCTTGTGAGTCTTCTGTGCCGGTGTACGTTATTAAATGTGCTTTTTTGTTTTTGTTAATGTCTTTTTATCAGTTCCTAATCCAACCAAAGAACCTAGGACGACGGAAAGAAACATTTCTCCCCTACACCTCAGTAACTACTGCCGGGTGAAGAAATAGAAAGTTACAACAAAGTTGCCTGTACAACTTTAGAATTAACCTTTCCTGAAATAACAGATATTTTAAAATTTACTGTTAATTTTGATCATGCAAATTTTTATATATTAACCATATGAATAGATATCGCTGAATGAATAGACTGTAGTGATTTGGATGTTTTGAATGTTATATGAATAATCATAAGTGCAACTGGCTTTTGCAGTCAATATGATTTTTAAGTGTATTCATATTGATAATGTTAATAGTAACAATGTGCCAGAGACCATTAAATCATTACAAAAACCCCTGTAAGGTAATTTCAGTCTCCTTTAAGATGATGAAGCCAAGGCACAGACCAGCTGTCAAAGAATAATGTTCCTCTGCTTCATGTCCCTAATTCCTGAAACTTTGAAGTATTCAAGTGCTAGTTAAGTGAGTTGCCTGTAGTTTTGAAATTAACATGATGTCTAAATTTAAAGAAAAGAGAGGTATTCAAATTAATCAGAGTAAAAGCATAGAGGCCTAAAAATGCACAGATTATAAGGAGAGCATAGATAATCTCACTATAACTAAAAGGCAGAATACTTAGAAAGCTGTGGTGAAAGAAACCTAGAAAAGGCATTAATTTTTTAACCAGGTATACTCAATTTTATTACAACATGTCATCAATATAAATGATTGAGATAACTTACATTTTTTTCTAAGTCTTTGAAATTGGGTACTATTTTACTTTAACCACATTTCAGGCACTGAGTAGGCCCATGGGGCTAGTGGTACAGGGCTAGTGGCTACAGTAGTGAACTGCACAGAACTCTTCCTTTACTTTAGGAGAACTAGTTCATATACCATTTTATTTTGATGTAACATTAACTGATAAACTAAACATTAGAACAAACTAATATTTGGCGACATTTTACTTATTTTGATGACTTTAATTGTACCCCTCTCTTTGTGTTTGGGTGCTTGCTACCTTTGTTATTTTGTAAAGTTTCTAATTGTATTATGTAGTACATTTTATTTGACTATCTCACCATCAATGAGAAACTTCATAATGTTTTGTTAGTTACTAAAGGATGAGGCATCTGGCCACCAGAGGTCAGCCTGTTTTCATTTTTTTTTTTTTATGATTAGTGCCATGCTTTTGTTAAGTATTTTTTGAAAATTATAATCTGAAAATTTTTTAAAGATGCTAGATTAAATTTAAACATCACAGTCTTACCACTCTAAAGTTTACATGGGTTTTGCCTTGTTTTTAGTGCTGTGGAAGAGAACAAATAATAACAACTATGGGAATTTCTTCCTGTCCTTGGTAAAGTTAGTTTGACTAAAAAAATAACAAACACTAAGAAAAGATGTGTATTAAAGGTATCAATTACCAATATTTCTTTAAAGGTAAATTGTACATGGAAATGTATAGAGTACATTCAGTTTTTTTTTTTTTTTAATTTTTTTATTAGTTGCTCAAAACATTACAATGATCTTGACATAGCATACATTTGATTCAAATGGGGTACGTAATCTTAATCTTATTTTTCCACGTGTACAGATTGCAGAATCACATTGGTTATACAGCCACGTTTATACATAAGGCCATACTAGTGTCTATTGTATTGTGCTGCCCATCCTATCCCCCCTCCATTCCCCTCCCCTCTTTCTACCCAATCTACTGTGACACGTTTCTCTCTCTTTTTTCTTCCCCCCTCACACCATCTTATATGTAATTTTGCATAACAATGAGGGTCTCCTACCATCTTCTGTGCAGTTCCCCTTCTCTCTCCCATTCCCACGCACCTCTTGTCCCTATTTAATGGGAATCTTCTTCTCATGCTCTTCCTCCCTGCTCTGTTTTGAGTCGCCCCCCTTATATCAAAGAAGACATTCTGCATTTGTTTTTTAGGGATTGGCTAGCTTCACTTAGCATAATCTGCTCTAATGCCATCCATTTCCCTGCAAATGCCATGATTTTGTTGTTTTTTAGTGCTGAGTAATATTCCATTGTGTATAAATGCTACAATTTTTTTATCCATTCATCTATTGAAGGGCATCTGGGTTGGTTCCACAGTCTAGCTATTGTGAATTGTGCTGCTATGAACATTGATGTAGCTGTGTCCCTGTTGTATGCTCTTTTTAGGTCTTTTGGGTATAGTCCGAGAAGGGGAATAGCTGGGTCAAATGGTGGTTCCATTCCCAGCTTTCCAAGGAATCTCCATACTGCTTTCCAAATTGGCTGAACCAATTTGCAGTCCCACCAGCAATGTTAGAGTACATTCAGTTTTGATATGTGTTTTAGTCAGCTCTGTCGTCACCCTAACCAAAAGACCTGACAAGAATAGTTTGAAAAGAGGAAAAGTTTAGTTTGCACTCAAGGTTTCAGAGGTCTCAGTCCATAGGCAGCTGACTCCACAGCTCTAGGCCCAAGGTGAAGCAGCACATCAAGGCAGAATGGCATGACAGAGGAAAGCAGCTTAGGAAATGGTGATCAGAAAGCACAGATCTCAGCTCACTGGGGACAAAATTATAAATCCCCAAGGCATGCCCCTAGTGAACCACCTCCTCCAGCCATACCTTCCCTACCTTTCTACAATTATTGATATCAGTGGGTTAATGCACTGATTATGTTAAGGCTCTTATAACCCAATCATTTCGTCTCTAAATTTTCTTGCATTGTCTCACACATGAGCTTTTGGGGGAACACTTTGAATCATTCTGCCCCTGGCCCCTAGAAGCTCATGCACATCTCAGAGCAAAATATGTTTATAGTCTATTTTTAAGCCTTAAGGATCAGCCATGCATGGTGGTGCAAACCTGTAATCCCAGTGGCTTGGGAGGCTGAGACAGAAGGATTGTGAGTTCAAAGCCAAACCAAGCAAAAGCAAGGTGCTAAGCAACTCAGTGAGACCCTCTCTCTAAATAAAATACAAAATAGGGCTGGGGATGTGGCTCAGTAGTCAGATGCCCCTGAGTTGAATCAGGTACCAAAAGAAGGAAGAAAGAAAAAAAAAAAAAGAATCTTAACGATTCCATTGTCTTAACAGTTCCACCATTTCCCAAAAGTCTAAGTCCAAAGTCTCCTCTGAAACTCAAGACAAATTCTCAGCATGAGCCCTAGGAAAACTCAAAAGCAGGTTACATACATTGAACATATAATGGCATAGAATAAACAATGTGGAAAAATTTTGTACATGGACTGTTAAGGATAACAGTAATGGGTTCGTTGTTAGGTCTAGGATTTAGGTATGCCTTCACATAGACTTTTTCTGCCTTTTTGCTGATTTCAAAAGTGGAGTAACCCATTTTTTAGAATGTTTTGAGTAACAACTGAAGTGTACCCAAATAATTTTATAGATGCAATCTGCTTGAAATGAAAACAGTAAAAATATAAGCACAAAGAACAATTAAAAGCCCTTCTCTTGTCTCAGTAAAGTTAAGACAACAGTATGTGACAGATGTTGATATTCATTTCAGATTGAACTAGGTAATAATACATACATTTAAAAGGTTTTTATACCCAGTGACCCAGGAAGCTGAGGCAGGAGGATCACAAGTTCAAAGCCAGTCTAAGCAACTTGGTGAGATCCTGTCTGAAAATGAAAACTAAAATGTGCTGGGGATGTGGCTCAGTAGTTAAGCACACCTGGGATCAATTCCCATTACCCCCCCCCAAAAAAAAGTGTTTATATTCATGTTTCTTAAAGTTATAAGGAGTTGCCTTTGTTTTGCTGTAGTAGCATCATATTTGTTGATCTTGCTCTTTAGGATTGTTTCTTGTATACCCTATTACTAGATCACCAAAATACAACTTGGGGGTTTTTCTCTCTCAAGAATAAAACAACATTTCTGTGGTTATTTACTTCAGATCTTAGTTATTCCCTCATTAATTTTTTTTTTTTTTCCCGAGATAGGGTTTCACTGAATTGCTGAGGATTTTGTTAATTGTGCTGAGGATGGCCTCAAACTTGGGATACTCCTGCCTTTGCCTTCTGGGTTGTTGGAATTACAGGCATATACCACAGTACCTGACTTTTATTAATTCTTTCAAACAACATTTATTGAGCCCTTAATATATGCTAGACACTGTGCTGAGAACTGAAGCATATAAAAAAATTATTAATTAAAGCCATACCATATGACCATGTTAGCACAACTCAGTGTATTTGAAACTACAGATATTCACTGATTTTTATTTTGTATATTACCCCTTCAGAATAATACAAATGAGATCTTGATAATGTTTCTTGATTTTCTTTCATTTAGTACTATACCCGTAAAGTCCATCTGTGTTGTTACATATACTTCTAGCTATGCATATTTCTAATGTGCTTCTACTGCATTTTACCTATCTTCTCTAGTGATGAAAACTTAGAATATATCTAATTCCTTATCACTGATAGAGCTTCAGAGTATATCCTAATGCTTGTTGGTCTTAAGGAAAATTTATTTGCTATATACCCAAAAGTAGAGTTGCTGGATCTTGAGCTGTACAGTTAATTTGGCTAAGTATTAATGCCAGATTTCTTTTCAGAATGGTTATACAATCCCACCAACAGTGCCAGTTCCTACAGGGAACTCACTAACACTGGACGTTATCTAGCCTTCTAATTTTCACCAAACTAATAGCATAATGTTATCATATGATTAATCCATTTGGATTTTCTCTTCTGTTAATTGGATATTCTTGTCTTTTGCCCATTTTTTAAATTGAATTTTCTACTAGTTTGTTTTGTGTTTTTCCCCTCTCCTTCCTTTGCCATGCTAGAGATCAGACCCAGGGCCTCAAGTATGCTAGACAAGAACTCTACCACTGAACTCTGGGCTAGAGCCCCAACCCTTTTTAAAAAATTAATTTGTAATTAATGTTGTCTTTGATATCTTTAGTTCACTCCAGGTATTATTGATTCTGGTGATTGGATTAATCATTGTTTGGTCCTGTGCTCTATGCTATTTTGTTTATTTTCCCTGACTATATTAGCTTTATGTCACCATGACCAAAATATCTTGACAATAACAACTTAAAAGAGGAAAGGTTTTTGTGGGGGCGGGGGCGCTACAGTTACAGAGGTTTCAGTATGTAGTTGGCTGGCATCCTTTCTTTGGGCCTGAAGTGAGGCATGAGGCAGAACATTAATGCAGAAGAGTATAGCAGAAGGAAGCTGCTCAGTTCCTGGCAATCAGGAAGCAGAGGGACAGAGAGAACGGGCCAGAAACAAGATACAGTACCCATGGTATGTCCTACTGAACTACTTCCTCCAGCCCTGTCCCACTTGCCTGCAGTTTTCATCCTCTCCCAGTAGTCCATTCAGCTACCAGCGGATTAATCCACTGTTAAGGTGAGAGCCCTTGTGATTCAGTCATTTCCCAAAAGACCACCTTGAGCATTGCTGCGCAGACAACCAAGCCTTCAACACATGAACTTTTGGTAGACTTTTCAGATACAAACCATAACATCAGCCTCCAATCACAAAAGTATTCTCATCTATTATATTTGATTAACTATATGGTTTTACCATCCTCACTTAGGTTTTATCCTCCTATACACCTGGCATTATATAGGTGTACAGTTTTATTTTTCTTCATTTGAGCCACTTGTACCAATAAATGTGCTAAAATGCATCCATTTCCCCCTTGAATTTATGTACCACTCTTATACTGTATTCCCAAATTATATGTGACTGTGTTCTGTTTTATTGAATTATGTCTGATCTTACATTCCATCCTATTTTAATTTTTCAGATTTTTATAATTAATAGTTTGAAGATTAAGAACACCCTTTACTAGCAGAAAGTTCTGTAGTGTTGAGGGAAGAGGTCTAGGAGGGATAAGGGGAAAAGGGGAAGTACTGAGGACTGAATTAGAGCAAATTATATTCCATGCTTTTGTAGTTACGTCAAATGAGTCCTAATGTTATATATAAAACTAAAAAAAGAACTTTAAAAAAAAAAAAAAAAAAAACCTTTTCTCCTCTGTTTACTGCTTTGGCCATGTGTGAAGTTTTATTCTTTCTATATAAACATTGAAGTTCATTTTTATTAAGTTCCTCAAAATTTTGCCCAGAGTTGTATAAATTAAAGCTAGTATCTTTGTAGCATTTATTTATTTCATCTATCCAAGAGCATGGAATGTTTCTATTTCTATGTCTTACTTGGTCTTATATATTATTAACTAGTCCTTATGTCCTTTATAAATTTGGAGACATTTGTTTTTCCTACTGTTAAATGTACTATATAATATATTTTCTTGTTAGTGTTGCTGATATTGAAATTAATATTTTATTGATTCTTTTCCAATTCCTGCACCTGTCATTTATTTATAACATTAACTAGCATTTTCAGTACCATGTCAGACAGTATCATTCATACTCTGATCTCACTTTTTAAAGGAATATATCTCATTTGGGATCATATTTGCTTAAAGTTTTTGGAAAGTAAACTTTACCTAATCTTTTTTTCCCTTTCACTTTTGGAAACTTAAATTTATAAATTTCTAAAGTTGAACTCTTCTTTCTTTCCCAGAAAAGCTCTACTTATAACATTTTTTTTATTTTCTTTAAGGTACTGTTAGATTATGTTAAGTAATAGAGTTTTTGAAAATGCATTGAGCCTATGCTTTTTATATTTCATATGTCTCTAGATTTGAAGTTAATTTTTTTATTCTCATAAAAGAAATTAGTCAGTTTTCATGCTGTTTTTCTTTTTCTGGAACAGCTTATATAAGATTGTTCGTATGACTCAGTCTCTGAGACTACATCAAGAGTTCCAACATCTAGCAGCTCTATCACCAGGACAGACCCTCTAAAACTAATCCTAACAAGTACATCTAAAGGTAAAGAGATAAACTCTCAGTTTGGGCTTTGGGGCATAAGGGATCTGTTTTTTCAGGAGTAATTTTCTATGTGAGAACTGTATTCTTAAAAACAAACTGGACCAGTTTTGTTCCAACAAAGTATTAAAATGTCCCCAAGCTCTTTCCTAATTTTGTGATTATAAGAGTTCCCAACAGGAAAATCAGCCTAAGCCTTTGACGTAGAGAGGAGAAAATCAACTAGGCTTTTTTGCTTAGCATTCATTTTCTTGGTTTTGTGTAAAGTTAGATGGGTGGTAATGTTACTTAGTGCCTTCAGACTTTAATATCAAGTCTCTAGTTTTCTCATTCACAGGTTAAGGCTACTTTTCCAGATAGTCCAACCACTAAGTCAGGAGTTTCCAAGGGCATTTACCTCACCTGTGGAAAACTTCAGATCCTTGCCTACCAGATGTTCTTGACAACTCATCCCATCATCCCCATTCTACATAAGTTGCCATACCAGCGGACAACCAAGACAACTGCTGAGCTTTTCATTACCAAGTAGATTTAATGTCACTGCCAACAAAACAGAGTGGACAAAGTGTCTCTTGATAATATCACTACCCGTTGAAACTACGCCAAGAAAATCAGCATGCCTAGTTGAGGACCCTTCTCTTCTTGGGTAGTCAGGATTTAAAGGAGATACTCTGACGTGTGCCACTGGTAAGTGACTAACAATTTTACTCGCTGAACTGGTCCTGATGACTAAGATGTCTACCTTGTAAGTGAAGAATATACATCATACTCTTGAAGAACTGCACAGTGGTGTAGGCCAGAGGCATACTCTGTGTGTATAATGGACTGACAAATTAATCTTGGTGAAAAGATTTGTCATGTTATTTCTATTCACCAGTGTTAGTCATTATTCTGCTGGCTTAGATTGTTAACCTTTTTCTGGTTTCTTACTTTTTTCTTAATGGGTCCCAGAAATCCCTCTCCTGACCCTTTGTCAGACTCAGAAAGTGAGGAAGAAGAAAACATTAGCTACCTAAATGAGAGTTCTGGAGAAGAGTGGGATTCCTCAGAAGAAGACGACCCCAAGGTGCCCAACCTAACACCTCTTGAGAGTCTTGCCTGGCAGGTTAAGTGCCTTTTAAAATATTCTACAACTTGGAAACCTTTAAATCCTAATTCCTGGTTGTATCATGCTAAACTCTTGGATCCAAGTACACCAGTTCATATACTTCGAGAGATAGGTCTAAGACTCTCCCATTGTTCCCATTGTGTCCCCAAACTGGAACCAATTCCTGAATGGCCCCCTTTAGCCTCTTGTGGAGTCCCACCTTTTCAAAAGCCCCTTACAAGTTCCAGCAGGCTTTCTAGAGATCATGCCTCTTTAAATGGAGCACTGCAGTTTGCTACCAAACAGTTAAGCCGAACATTGAGCAGAGCTACTCCCATACCTGAATACTTAAAACAGAATCCTAATTCATGTGTTTCTGGTTGTTGCTGTGGCTGGCTAACTAAAACAGTAAAAGAAACCACCCGCACCGAACCCATCAACACTACTTATTCCTACACTGACTTCCAAAAGGCAGTTAACAAACTCCTAACTGCTTCATTATAAAGAGTACAGTTCACCCTGATATCTCTGATGTTGCTATTTGAAGTGGGAGTCCAAAATTAATTACTACACAGGCTACAGCTGAGAAACAAATGCCTTCTCAACCAAATTGCCATGTCCTAACAAGCTAAAGCATCCAAGGGCCCTGTGTTTCAGCTATACAAAATATGTGTGGTAAGCATACTTCTGACAAACCCTAGAGATAAAATGAGAACTTCAGTAAAGAATTAGTCAAAAGAAAACATATTTTAAAAGCTAACTTGAATATTCTCCACAATTAGTATTCACCCTACTTCATTTTGTTCTGCCTGCCTGAATGTACTTGTTAGATGTCTGGTTATTAATGGATAGGAAAAAATAAACCATCACCCTTTTGTTACTGAATCAACAGAACAGACTGGTGGGATTCAACCATCAGAAAGCAAGAAATTAGCTACCCCCACTAAAATCTTCTCAAGTATGGTCTTCTCAACATTCATTTCTACAGCAGTAGTTAAAGTGAGTAATTACATGAGCGAAAATGATAGGAATGTGGATTTCTCTCTCAGATTTTATATGGATATACCTTTTGGGGGTTCCTGTTTTTTATGGGGAGTGCATTTTCAAAATTAGCCTATGAAACTCTAAACCTATTAAGGTATCTGCATTTACAACTTGAACATTCTATATCATAGGCTTTTACCAGGCTTTCTGTGGCTAAATTGGCCCATAATATCATCCCTTGAATTATAACAGTCCGCTATTCTGTAGGGAGTATGTTTCCTGGATCTTGGCACTAAGACTTTTGTCATGCGCAAATAAAATATATTCAAAAAAGATAAAAAGGATTAAGAGAGAATATAGTTTCACTATCAACTGGTAAAAAGATTAAAACATTTCAACTGTCTTACATTTCATGGAGCAGAAATTTATGCCCTTTCCACATCCATTGCAAACATTTCAAAAACCCTTCTAATATTAATGAATCAGCCTAACACATCTGAAATTAAGCATTTTAGCAGCATTTTTTAAGTAGATTAACTTCTGATTTTCTTCTGACTGAATAAGGAAAAGTATATGCCTTTGAGTACATTGCCAATGATTCTACTATGAGCCAAAACATAGAAATCAACATAAAATAAAATGCATGAGACCATTAAATTTTTTGACATATCCTACAATAAAAAGTGAAATTTGTGTGTCATTGTGGATAACTGGGCATCTAAAGGGAATCATAAAACATATTGTTAAAAATGTATCATATATTCTCTTTATTTTAGTTTTGCTTTTTCTTGTTCTCCATAATTGCTATGTACAAGGTTGAATAAAAAAAAAAGCAGTGATACAATCACAAATTTTGTAAATATATAAAAGCTTAAGGAGAACGAACAATGTTTATAACCTAATAAGTATTTCTACTGAGCTTTAGTTATCCTGTCTTAAGGGGGAAAATAAGAGTATTATACTAAGTAGGGGGAAAAAAAAAACTTGTTCATGGTAATTATTGACCTGGACCTATATCATACTGTTAGTATAACTGAATGTATCAGAAACTGTTCCTATATAGATGTTCTGTGAAATTGGTTTTTTAAACGTTACAAAATCTGTTTTCCTTTTTTTTAGGGGTAAAGATTGGAGGAGGTAGGAAAGAAATCTGAAAATTAAAATGTGTTGTTTATGTATCCATAACATGTTCGTGTGTGTGTGTGTGTGTGTGTGTGTGTAAAAGTGCCTTGCTTGTGAATGCATTTTTGCTATTCACTCCAAAAAGGAAGCCTTTTTCCACCTTGGCAGCTGAATAAACAAACATCTTTGTACATGCGGAACAGAGTATGGTCATTTATCCTCCACAAATGAAATGGATCCTGCTTTGCATAAGGCATATTCAACATTAAAATAAGTATTGAATGCAGTTAGTAGACAGATTTATCTATATCTATGTAGTATCTGACAAGGTGTCTTGGCATCTTTAGAGAAGAACACACTTGAAGAAGAAGAAAACATCTCATTCAGGCAAGACTCAAATTTGACCTCATTTGTTTCTTTATTTTAAATAATCCCAGGTTGTACAAAATAATAAGTACCTGAATAAGCCTTAAGCCATTTCTTCCTTTTATGTGTCAGATTTGACGTTGGAGACAAATGTACCATTTTTACATTCTCCCTGTGTGGGCCTCTGATTAAATGTAGTCACCATAATTAGGGTAAAGACAGACAAAATTTTCACTCTTTATAGTAATAGTTATCAAAGAAGAGAGGAAACAGGGTTTCTAAACCAGTGATTGTTAATAAATTATTTAAAGGTGTTTTCTCTCTCAGTGCAGAGGCAGCCTTTATGTTGAAGTAGTCCAGATACCTTGAACTTTGTCTTTTGGTCCCATCTGCTTCCTAAGAAAAGTGGGGGGAAATCATGCATGGCGGGAGGCAGACAGATGGTAGGTCTTCTCCAAGGGATTTTCCTTCTAGAGATCCTATTATGCCCACATCTATCCATCTAAACATTTTTCTCTTGGGAAAACTGTTCTGATATTAGATTGCTAAGTAGTTAAGGATCTTAGAAGTCACTTGGGTTATTTTCTTACTGATGCATAAATTGTCTTATATGTTTGATAACTAGCTTTCTACTTTTTGCTCCAGTGTTATAGAATGAAATGTCTTTTAGAGCATACCATTAGTTTTTAAAATATCTATAAGAAATATAGTGACTACTATTATTAAGGAGTACCTACTATGGTCTAGACCTGGGAATGCAAAATATATGAACCAACATACATCATTCCATGCCATTTCTCTGGGGTCCCACTAAAGAAGCCTAAGCCCCTAATCCATAAACAGGCCCTTCAAATATTTGAAAATGGCTTATGGTTGGAGATCACATGAAGGAATTAAATGGAGCAGCCATCCAAGTGTCATGGAGATTTCATGTGGAGGGCACTCCCAACAAATCAACTCCGCAAGGAATAGGCAAAAGAAGCAATAAAATGCAGATTTAAGCTGTATATGCCAAGTACACAAAGCAAAGACACACAAATATCAAGCTAGAAGCATTTTGCTTAGGTGGCTAGGGTATATGGAAAAGTCTGGATAAACTCAGAACTCATGGAACAACTTTGTATATGCTTTTGGCATAGTGGTGCACCAAGGAATAGTATCAGTTATACTTAGGGAAACTAAGGGAGCTACATGAACAGGCATCAGCTAACTGGTATTTTTTGTGGGTCAACTTGCTGTTGCCAAAAGAAAATGCTTGTATCTTTGGCAATTTCAATAATGGCTACATGTTCAAGTCTGATAATTTTAAGTAGTCTTCTGGGCTCTTCCTTTTAATTGACTGGCACGGAGATTATCTACTCAGGAGCAAGATTAGTAAAGGGACAAGACAAAGATATCTGACACTTGCCAGATAGAAGTGACCAGCACTTCTCAATGTGGGAAATGAATGCCTGATTTTTAAAAATGAGGAAGACAGCACTTGAGTATTGCTTCCAAACAAATGTAGAGTAAGTTAAAAATGTTAGCAACAGTTTAGAGTTGGTTTATAAAAGAAAAAGTTGACCAGAATTTGGACAGTTTATTTGGGATAATATGAAAATTCCTGGGATCATTTGGGGAGTTAGGCCCTATCTAAATCAGTAATCTTCCAGAAAAAGACTCAGGCTCTTGATTGACCTAACAAGATAAAAACAGTTGTGAATATACAGAGAAATCAGGATGGTAGGATATCAAATGAGATTGCAACAGAAACCATTATGTTTGACTCTCTGAGACGCCTATACCTATTATTACTCTCCTATCTGTGGTATTATCTGGTGGGACTTGACATTCCAAAGTACCAACTGGTGTTACAAGATGTATTAAAGCAGTGGTCTACTAGCAGTAACTTCTTCCCAGAGCTATCCAGACAAACTATTCAAGGGTATGGCAACATTTTATCAAGAAAGACCCTAGATTGGCTTTATGATTGCACCCTGAGTAACCTAATGGCTTGATAGAGTGGTAGAGCTCTGGTGAAGAACCAGCCACTACATGGAGAACCATAATTTCAGGCTTGAATGATTATTGGCTACAGCCAATGTGTTCATTTCATGGGGACTTTTTTTTTTAAGAGAGAAAGAGAGAATTTTTTAATATTTTTCAGTTTTCGGTGGACACAACATCTTTTATTTTTTATGTGGTGCTGAGGATGGAACCCAGCACCCCACGCATGCAAGGCGAGCACATTACCGCTTGAGCCACATCCCAACAGCCCCATGGGGACTTTTAATATAATAAAAATGTGTTACATAGTGTTGGGCCCCTGGTTCCCTACCTGATGGTGAAGTAGACTTTCCCAGTGACCTGAATGCGTTGATTCAAAGCCCAGTTTCCTTCTTTGAACCGAGCTTTTCTATACTTCTTGGGATACATTTCTTTAAATCCTTCTTTAAATGTTAAGTTGCTAAATTTAGCAAACAAAAATACTAGGCCTTGGACCAAAAAAGAAAAATAGAGGACACCCAAATAAATTTGAATTTCAGATAAACTGCCATATAAGACATACCAGAAAAAAATTTGTTTATCTGAAATTCAAATTTAACTGCTTTTCTGATTTTATCTGACAACTTTATAAATGTTTAAAAAGAAGCCATGATTCTCAGAAACAAAACATATTGCATCCATGAAATGAGAACAAGATGCTATAAAAAATAAATAATCAGAAGATAAGAGCTATTAGAAAAGTAGGAGAACCAAAATTAAGCATTCAGTAGATGTGTTGAAGAAATTTCCCAAATTAAAACAACATTGATTAAGCTTGAGTTGTTGTCATAGCTGTTCCCAGGCAACAGTCTGATTTTGTCCATTATACATTATTGTCTTACTTCTATAAACTTGACTAGGAATTAGGGAGGTTACCACATGGTTGACCCAAGGTTAAAACATATTAAGTGGTGAAGAAGTAGGCCTAATTGCAGAAAATAGTTTTTTTTTTTAAGGAGATTCCTTTATATTTAGCTAAAACATAACCATTATATAATTTCCAGATAGCAGTTTTCAAAATGCTACCTCAATAGTAGGTAGTTTGAGTTTGTTGTTTCTTGTTTATATGTTTTAAGCAGTTTCTCACTCCTTTACCTGAAGGGAAAAATTAAGTGTATTCCTCTTCGTTTTGTTTTTTAATAATTGATAGGTAGAACAGTTGTGGCAGCCTTTCTTTGTCACAGAAAAAGTCCACAAATTTGGAACACCTATCTTTGCCTTCCAGAACCCCCAAAAAACTCAAGGATTTGAAGGCACAAGGTACCCTGGAGGGTGGGGATGAGAAGCAAAGTTGAAAACAAATTATTTGAAAGTTAATTTTTGCCCTCACATTGTAGCCAGACAACTAATTCTCTGACAAAACACTGAAGGCCTATTTTTTGGAGAAATTGAGCCAAACAAAACTGGGAACTGGGGGAAGAGGGTGATGGTAGCTATGTGCTGTATTGAAGACAGGACCATTGTCAGTATTGAAACATTGTAAGCTCCAGTCCATCTTCTCCAACCAACTATGAAATCTAGCAACTGGGCTTATATCTAGCTTTAATCCCCGCCACCCAAAAAAAAGATGAACAGTGAAGAAAAAACAATAGTTTGACAATTATTTATTATAGTGACACCCAGAGTCTACAAGCCTTGCTCATTCATACATAGCTTATAGTCACTTGAAATCGCTATGCACTGGTAGCCAAGAATCACTAGACATTTGAGGAAACCTGCAATGTGAAAGATGATAAAACTTCTGAAAGAAGCTATGATCTCAGAAACAAAACATATTGCATCCATGAAATAAGAAGATGCTATAAAAATGAATAATCAGAAAGTAAGAGCTCTTAGAAAGGCAGAGCCAAAATTAATCATTCAGTATATGTATTGAAGAAATTTCCCAAGGTAAAATAAAAAGATGAAAAATAGGCAAGAAAAAAATTAGGGGGATCCAACATGGCGGCGAGAGGGGAGGCAGCGCTTTCAGTACCTCCTCAACAACGGGGTCAGAGAGACGCATGGATACGCTTAGATTCGACCTGCTGAGAAACTCCTAGCAAAATTCCACTAAAGAGAGACCGGCCGGGAATCAGTAGGATTTTTGGAGGTGACAGTTTGCGCTAGACGAGTGAATCTCCGCCACGCAGTGCAGAGGTCCAGACCCGCCAGTCGCTGCCCGCGCGACTTGGCGACTGTCGGCTGCCTGCACCGGCCCCCGCGTCAGGGCGGATAGCCTCCGAGGCGCAGTGCAGCAGGAGCGGTGCAGGGACTCTAGGAAGAGGTCTCTCGCCAAGCCTTCATGAAATAGCAAACCGGGAGCTGAAACCAACCAGAGACAGACCAGTCCCACCCCTCCCTTTGGACACTCCGGCAAGGAGCCTGGGGCCCGCCATTAGCAGAGAGGTGACATCACCAAAGTTCCGCCGACAGAATTCCTTCCCAGCGGAATCCACGTTAGCAGGTGTGTGACTCCCACCCCCTCCAGATACAAGCAGCCAGGAAACCTCGGGAATCTCTCCGGGGGCGTGTCTGTAGGGAAGCAGAGGGGATTCCAGATCCCCACCTCCCCTTAACACCAGCGGCGACAC